ATAACCACTCCTTTAAAACTTTTGTCTACATTGCTTCATAACTGAAGTAGATTCAACTATTTCCACATTCCCACAGAAAGACAAACTGAATATGAGTGGTACGGGTAAGTTTCAAAATAGGTTGCTTCTGAAATTCACAGTGCAGGCTGATACCACCGGCACACAAGGCTTGCTTTCCCACCAGGTGCCTTCTTTACTCATTGCATTTCCTGAATTCCCTGAGTCAGTTACCCACAGGCATTTGCTTTCCAAGATTCATTCCTTGACCACCTCATACGCTAACAGATTATTTCCGAGGAATACTATTTATTTTTACAGTGTGAGCTACAACTTCACTTTAGACTTGATCTCTCACTGAATCGTACAGCACATTTCGGGTGGAGTCTTCACATGGTGTTTGTATGTCATACAGGCATTTCAGCTACACACACATTAATTGCGAGCCTTACCTCACTTGGCCTATCTGGATATCTGGTGAGATACATTTGTGAAATGAAGGAGTTTAATGTTGGTTTTCTGAATTTTTCTAAATACAATAATACTTGGTTTCAAACAATATTTGATGCAGAATCAGATTTATATGAATCCGCTAGAATCAAATAGACTGGCTAAAACAGAATGAGGTGCCCAGATCCTTACCCAGCATGTCTTTCTCAGCTATCTTATCAGCCTACAGGCTCCTTTATGGAACTTTGAATCCAGTCATCTCTGCCATATTACACAGTCATCTCTTAATTTAAAACATAAATTTTTAATCACCTTTGGAATTTAAGAATACTTCACCCATCATTCTTCCTACAAATCTATTTTTAAGTAAGGGCTTAGGTAGTTACATAATAAAAAAATTTAAAATCTCAGAATTCAAAACTCCTATTTCCTCATTTTCCAATATAAAAAAAAAAACCAAGTACCAATTCTTTCTATTCTGAAGCACATTTGATATTCATCTTCTGGTACTTTCCATTATCAAGATCACTACTTTTCTTCACACACAACAGACTTTCTAAAGTTCTCTAAATACTTCATGTAGTTTCCTGATTTCAGAACTTCACTCATACTATCCAGTGTGGAGAATTCCCATCTTTCCTCTCCTCCCTTCTTTCTTATTTCAAAATTCTACTCAGCTTTGAAGTTCAGCTTCTCATTGACACTTTTTCTAGCAGAACTCAAAAAGCAGTTCCTTCTCTAATCTGTTCCAATAATAACATGTGTCTGCTTCAAAGTCTTCAACATTTTATAATTGATTGGTGCATAATTTGTCTGTCTAGATCAGGATAATGTTTTTTATATGTTTATTCATAATAGATGACCCAATAAAAATAGCTTAAATAAGTAAAACCAAGGGGCCTGTGTTACAATACATCGGGTTAAGTAGCCAGCTTAGACACAGGCATCGCCTAGGAGCACTGTCACAGCCGCACCACTTTCCATCCACCTCCGTGGTAATGCGTCTAGGAGGACAGTGGAACATTGGCACATTGGCTTGACCGCCTGCTACCCACGTGAGAGACCTGAAAAGAGTTCCTGGCTCTGGCTTCAGCTTTGCTTAGTCTGGCTATGCTGATGGACCATTTGTGGCATGAACTAGCAGATGGAAGACTGCTTGCTGCCTCCCTCTCTCTGGAACTACATTTAAAATAGATAATAGTTACATTTAAATAAATAAAGACAATGTTACAATGCCATGATGAAACTTTCTCTGAAGAGAGCTGTTATTCACATACCACAGAAACATTTAGAAATATAAACAGAAGATTATGTGCCTACGTAGTCTAAGAAAATGAGCAGGCATTATTAAACAAAGCTATCCCAGTTTTAAAAAGAACAGAAATAACAACTGTTAAAATACGGGATGTACTTCTTTTCAAAGGTAAAGTTCAAAACTTATTGAAACAGGAGAATTGGTGAAACATATATTATCATACAATTTCTAAGATTTTCCCTAGAGTTTTGTAATTAAATATGCTACTATAAAGCACAATAAAACACTAATCAGAAATCACATTTATCAAGCATCAGTTTGTTTTATTTTTCTTTCTCATCTCTAGTCACATGAGTTCTTAACCTTACATGTCATGATCTTCTTTGAGCTTCCATTAAAACTATGAAAAAAATATATAAGCATTATTTTAAAAATCCTTCTGTTTTAGCAAACCCTCTAAAATCTACCTAACATCTACTGATGTATCCAAGTTGCTGCACCCACTTTGTATGCTTAAAAGCCACCTTGCATTTCCTCATTAAGCCATACTTACTTACATTTCTGCCAAAGTTAGTATACAGCATAAGACCTTAAAAATAACGCTGTATATTAAAAATTACATTTAGCCAAATCTATCTTAATTTTTCAAAGAATCTCAACAGAGCATTTATCTAATACAAAAGAAAACTAAGAAATCAATACACAAAACTTTGAAAAGCAGAAAACAAATCACAATCATGATTTAAGAATGCTATTATTGAGAGAACTGAACTAGATAACCCATTTGGCTTCAAAACATACTTTGATTCTTAACAGCAACACAAATCATAAAGAATTATTAATTGGATTATCAATAGAATTATCCATCTAGCTTCATTCCTAACCCAGCTCCCTACTAATGGAATAGAAAAGGAGCAAAGCATGAACAAAGTCCATGAACAGAGCATGAACATGCAAATCAAGAAGGAGCGCCAGGTCCCTGGTTTCAGCCTGGCCCAGTTCTTGTTACTGTGGCCATCTTGGGCATGAGTTAGCAGATGAAACATCTCTCTACCTCCGTAACCCTGACTTTCAAATAAATAAATAAAACGTTACACAAAAAAAATTAACATATAATTCAATTATACATAATGTACATTAAAAGAATATGAAAACTAATCTGCCTATAACACTCAAATTTATGGTACCCAAGTATTGTCGATTAAGATGGAATGCTTAAAATTGGTATTATGTTACAGTAGGTTGAGCTGTATATATAATATTGACATCCCATACTAACATTGATTTGAGATGGCATTCATCCATTTTCCATCCAGATTCCCAATAATGTGTCTGGAATAGCAGCCTAAGATAGTCCCTGTTACCCACATGAGGACTCAGATGAAATTTTACGTTCCTGGCTTACAGTTGAGGGGCTGTTGTGGACATCTGGGGATGAACCAGCAGATGTAATAGATCTCTTCCTCTTTCTTGTTCTTTTCTCTCTCTCTCTCTCTCCCCCCCCCCCCCCCGTGTTACACTGTCTTTCAAATAAATCAATAAACCTTTAAAGAAAAAAAAGATCAAACAACATTATTTCTGATTCAATATAATCAGCATTGTATTCACACATAACTTTTCAATGCGTGTATCTCTTAATTCTTCATCCTTTACAATGGGACTGTATGATACGCAGAAGCAATCCATCTCTGTATCTTTGCTCTCCTTTCCCAGGCATGAAGGTACAACTCACATTGTACAATTTCTATAAAACTCAAAACTTGTATTTATTACTGTGGCTGTGGTAACTGATTTGTTTTTCCTAAATTATTAAGCACATTAAATGTGAATTATTAGCAAATTAATAGATTCTTTTCAAGCACTTAGAGTAAGGCACATTTTGAGCATATGCTGTACTTTTACAGACACTAAGTCAGTTAACTTACAGAATCCTATATAGTTGGTAATAATATTCTAATTATGGAAATCAAATTTTAGATGAATTTCCAAAACTGCATTTAGCAAGAGTTAAAATCTTTTAGGTTCAAAAAATAAAACATTTATTTCCAAATCACATGCTTCAATAGTAGACTTTTCTACTCGAAGACATCAGCTTTTACTGATAACGAAGTCAGAAGACAATACCATAATTATAGTCATTTTTCTTTCATCATTATTATACTTAGTAAACATTCCCTTTTTTAGGTAGTATATCTATTATTGCTCCAGAAAATACAGATCACCATGGAAATCTTCATCTAATTAAACATACATAAGATACTATCTTAGCTTGAATCTGATACTGGTACTTTTACTAATTTAATAGTGCAACAACTTCTTGGATGCCAAGCGCTGAAGTCAACATTTGTTTGGCACTTCTTAACAATTCGATAGCTTTTACCCAGGCTTCTAGGGATGTATGCTAACAAAGGCATTATAAGCACAAATTCAGTGTAACCCTTGATTTAGACAAACAATTAAATCTGTAAATACTGACAGTAATTTTTCACATCAATTGATTTGAAAGTTCTCAGGTGTTCATAAAAAATTGGTTTAGGAGTCATATAAAAGAGTTTTTAATTTCCTCATTATAAAATCATTTGCTTTGAACAGTAACTTTTTTCCCAATCGCACACTCATTTGATAGTTTGGAGAGAAAATATGACAGGACTCATTTTATATATAATCAAAACATGAATTAGAGTAAAATGATTAGCTTAAGTTTAAAAAATTGTGAAGATTGTAATAATCCATGTTACCTTCAAATATATCACATTTAATGAAACAGATTCAGAGAATGCTTCAAAATACAGCAATCAGCAAGCATGATTGTTTAAGATACTTAAAATGTTTACAGAAAGCCGTGAGTAAAAAAACTCTTCATGAATCATGATAAGCTGCTTCCTGATCAAACCAGACTCTGTTCAATCCTATATAAAAAGGCACGATGACTTCTCCGAGAAACAGAAAAGACTTTAAATTCTGATGCCTCACAAAAACGTTTTCATAAATAACTGATCATGAAAAAATAATATAACATTTTGTTTTCATTATAATTATCTTATAATATTTTGTGAATTTAATCTTTGATTTAACAAGGGATTAAAGTTCCTAAAGCAAGATGGTTTTGTTTTTACTCAACAAAAAAATATAGGTGTGTGTGTATGTGTTTCCCAATGGGGAAGGCCTAAGACAGAATGTGGGCATTGTAAAGGAAAACATGATTTTAGAAACTATGACAAAGAAATAGGCAAAAACATTTTCTATAATTCCTTGCAGAAGACAGTGACTATCGTAAGAACTAGATAATCAGATTTACCTGTCTCTGTCTGGAGAGTAGTGATCATCCATGACACGGTGTCTATCCATCCGGCTAATTGTATTATAATGTCCGGTAGTTGTTCGGGTCCCTCGAAGTCCCTGTTCCACATTCCGACTGAAACAGCAAGATCCATTAAGTATCTTAGGAAGCCATAATCATATACATTAGGTAATGTGTTTAATTAACACATACAGTAGAGAACGACAAAGCAACTTCAATGTCGTCTACTTTTCTGTTTTTGTTTAACTGTTTTGTGTTCAAGATTAACTAGACCCATGACTAATGGAATGAATTTCAGTTAAAAACTGACAATCAACCAAGGATATTACTAGTATAATAGCAACACAACATTAAAGGGCCTAAAATAAGCTAGTATCAACAGCGATAAATAAGGAGTATCAAAGTTAACTAATGGATGACTCTCAATTCTTTAGCAGTGATATTCCATGACATGATACACAAGAGGAGTATGTGTATGTAGAAAAAATGAGTTGACAGTTTGTTTATAAGGCTATAGGAATGGGAATATGTGATGTGTCTCATAGGTGGTTGGACATAACTGAGAGCCCAAGACAACAAGTCAAACTCAGCCTGCTTCTGACCTGCCTCACTTGCTAGCACCCTAGAGCAAAGCGCAGTGTTCATGTACATACTGTATTACAAACATCTGCTGTCTTGCTTTCTTCCTTATTTCATCCATCATGACACATGGGTACACTGTAGCTACAGTCACCTAAAGTGTATTTTGCTTCAGCGCTAACTCCTCTACCATGACACACAGCAGCTCCCTGAAACATAATTAAGATCATGCTATCTCATGGCACAAGCCAAAACACATAAATTAAATTTTTAAATATTTGACTTCAATTAATGAGCTACTTTTCTGTATTTTCCCACTCTTTTCCGAATTAATTTGTAATGGCAAATTTATATTAAGCCCACACATATTATATAAATTGAAACAGAAATTATGTATTTATGTTGCATTAACTGCTCAATATGTTTATTATTATGGGATAGCGGTAAAAATTTCTTGCTCTTCAGATTTACTCATTTATGCTTTTTTATCCTGCCATATCAATTTCAGAATGGTGACAGGTTTTTGAAAATTGTACACTGTATTTTTAAGTTATAATTTAATTTGTGAAGAATTAATTTCTTTATCATATTAAGCCATTCTACCCATGATTAAGGCATCTTTTTCGGTTATTCCTTACCATTTTACATTTTTCTTTAAAAAGATCTCATTAATTATTAGCAAATTTGTACCTTATGTTTGAGAATAATGCTTGATGCATGTCTTACTATATTTTCTAGCTTGTTAAGTTTGTAAGCTTTGTTAAGTTTATCTTTGGCCAACTATTTTATCTATATGGCTATATATGAAATGTATGCCTCACGCAAGTGTTAAAACTTTTATTATATTGAGCTTTCATCTTATTCATTCACCTCCCAGGCCAAACAACAAAAAGATAGAGGAGAGCTCTTCCATCCATTGGTTTATTCCCAAATAGCCACAGCAGCAAGCTCCAGGACAGGCTGAAGCCAAGACCAGGAGCACCATCCTGTCCTATGAGGGTGTCAGGGGTTCAAAAGTTGGGCCAGCTAAGGTATTTAAGAGGAAGTAGGATCTGAAGTGAAAATAAAGTAAGTTAGGACTTGAACTGTCATTCCTATATGGGGAGCCAGCATTGCAGAATGTGGCTGAACCCACTATGCTATTAACGCTGGGTTTTTGGTAGATAACTATAAAATAAAAAAATAATTATCTTTCTTTTCTTTCCAAATCCTTCCATCTATTCTTCTTCTCTGCTTAATGGATTTTTCAAGACATCAAGTACTACATTAAACAGTGACAGTAAACATGAGCATCCATTTCTTGTTTACATTATTAATATAAATGACTCCAAACATTTCCATAAGTACATTGTAAGGTTCCATTTATATTGCCAAGTCTTCATGAATACCAAGTGGTTCTCCTTCCTTCCTTCTTTCTTTCCTTCTTTCTTTCCTTCCTTCCTTCCTTCCTTCCTTCCTTCCTTCCCCGTTCTTTCTCTTTTTTGAAGATAATTCATTTGAAAATCAGAGTTTCTGTGTGAGAGAGAAACAGAAGGCCAGAGCCAGAAACTTATTCAGAGATTCCCACTTGGGTAGCAAGTGAAAAATCATCTCACTGGCTGAAGTGGCACTCCAGAATCAACGAGCCCTGCATCTTCTGACCACAAGCAAAGGAGGGAACCTGTGTCTTCCTACAGGAACAGTGTTGATGAATCTGACTTAGTAGAAACTGGGATAAAAAAATCTCCAATCGATAAGGGCAAAAATTCAGCTTTTAACATCTGGGAATCCCCCCTAGTAACCTGGTTCATGCCTATACTAATACCAATAATAGTTATAGGTCTTTCATTAACAATTGCCCCTTGTTTTCTAAGGTTCGCCAAAGAAGAAAATCATTGAAGCCTCATGAGTTACTCTCACCTCTCAACTGTTACTCCACCCCTTCATTACGGTGCCCAGGGAGCCCTCTCTGGACCACAATTAGGGACGACACCCCTCTCCAGCAGAAAGTAGCCAGAACGACTTCATCACCTCTTTCCTATTACCAAGAGTCTGGAATGATGGCTACCCAGGGCACTGGAGGCGAGGGGCTGGGTCTGCTCCAGACCCGGCAAGTCTCCCAGGCTTCAGCCCAGAACAGGAAGGGCCACAGGAGCCAGTTACGTCATTGGCCTGGCAGGATTCCAGCCAACCAATGGCACACCTGAACGGACATTCCTTACATAATTGGGGCATAGACAGCCCCTTTGCCAGCCCACGTGTCTAGAGGAGTATAAAACTCCTGGACACCTATCTCAGCCTCCCTTTTCGTCTCCTTCTTCCTTTCATTCTGTGCAAAGGGGTCCCAGGAGTGGATTTTCCAACAAAGCTTCCATTACAAATAAAAGGAAAAAAACCTCCTACTAGAAAGAGTAGAGGTAAGATAATATTATCTCTATTTAACACACCTTTCTGTTTGATTCTGCCTTTGAAACCAGCTGTGTAGCACATTAATCTGCTCTTGGAAAATGCCCTGTGACATCTTCTTATTTTTGACTTCTTTTCTCTGAGTGGGCATGGGGAAAGAGTTGTTTGCTCAATTTATGAACGAATTGCTGATTTTCTTTTCCTTTTTTTTTTTTGGTATCAACCTTGTTTGGTATTTTATAGATTTTAAGAACTGTAACTATTTTATCTGAACTAACAAATTTAATAACATAATAATAATTTTAGAAGTCTTTTTTCTTATTTCCTTTTGGACTTTTATGAGAATATAATAATTGCATACAGTTTTGGGATACAATATGCTATTGCAACAAATGTATGCAATATATATATATATCACGGATCAAGAAAGGGTAATTAGCTTTTCTATCTTCTAAAGCTCATAGTATTTATTTTGTTAAAGTACAATCTTTCCTATCTGATTTCTATAGAGATTTCATTCCCATTGAAGAGATGTTGAATTACATTGAAAGGTCTTTTCCCTGCATTTATTAAGATGATCACATGATTCTTACCCTTCCTTCTATTGATGTGACATGTTTTGATTTGTTTATGCTGCACTTATGTTGCATAGCTGAGATAAATTCTTGAACTTATGGTGAATGAACTTTCTGACATGTTTTTTTATTTGATTTGCTATTATCGTGTGGATAATTTTTGCATCTATGTTCATGGAAATAGGAATTTTCAAGGAACATGGGTTTTTTTCTTTTGTCTTTGTTTTACTTGACCATCAGACCAATGCTGGATTTATAGAATGTGTTTGTAGAAGTTCCCTTCATTTCAATGGTTTTAAATTATGTCCTCAATTTCAATATATAACTAAAATCTGGCTTTTAAGTATTTTGAGATCTTATCTTATAGGTCATCCAAGGTTACAAAGAAACTCATAATCATTTTATAGCCATTACATAGATTACTGAATAACATTGTGTTTCTCTGTAAAATTTGTTTCTTAAGAATTACTTTTTACAGATTTTATTACTATACTTGTTGATTAAAGGCCCCTAGTGCTACAAATAACATGTGCCTGCTTTCTTACCTTTGTGGAGGAGGGACACTAGGTGACCATGATCTAGTCCTTCCTATAACATCTACTCTGTGAGGAGATCCTGATGGTGAACAATGGTTTGATGACATCACTTGTTCTGGCACTGATAATGTTGAGCTCTGAAGATCTCTACCATTGTGTCGATAATCTAAAGGTAGAAAATAATTATTGTTATTTTCACAACACATCCTTTGTGCATTTTACGTATCACTGAAGGATATAAAATGCTGGTGACACTGCATGACTTTACTAAATGTAAATTCAATTTCCTCTTATTTATTGTGAAATTATTATGCAGCTGTTTTAGAATAGAAAATCTAAAATTTTTCTGTGGCTAGCATCTTTCTTATCTGGCATATTTTATTAACTGGTATTATTTAGGAGCTTAAGTTGCCCTATTTTGGGGGGGGGGTCTGTGTTATGGCACAGTAGGTCAAATACTGATTATGATACTGACATCCAATATCAGAGTGCTAGCTGGAGACCTGGTATCTCTGCTTTACATCCAGTTCCCAGCAATGAGCCTGGGAGAGCAATCAAAGATATTCCAAGTACTAGGAACCCTGCTACCCACATGAAGGCCTGGGTTGAATTCTGTGCTCCTGGCATTGGCCTGAATCAATGGAGGCTACTGTGTAGTGAACAAGCAGATAAATTCCTTTCTTTCTTTGTGTCACTTCATGTTTCAAGTGAATACAAACATACATATATACATACATACATACATAAATCATTAACTGCCATATATTATTCTAAAGATTTTTAGGATTGTGAAAAGATAAATTATTTCTATTTTATTTATTTACTTTAGGGTAAATAGCCATGTAATACACCTAATTGCAATACTATAAAACACCCTAAAATTTGTACCTGACACAACGCCAATTCCATCATCACAGTCATAGTCAGAGACTTCACTGTCACTTATTCTCTTTGACCCTATGAAGAAAAGAGTACCAATTATTAAAATAGCTGATTATTTCAGAGGATAAAAAACCCTAACCGACTGAAAAACAGATGAAAATATTTTTAATACTTGAGAATAAAAATTAGAGAAGAAACATCATTAAAGCTCACTGATTTTCACACACATTTCACAATATGAGCTTATGCATTATGAAGTAATAACAATTCACAAGAATTACTCTGAAAATGTATATGATAAGATTCTTAAATTGCTTAAAGCTTGAAATAATATTGAGTGTTATATGATACACTTTAATTAATTGAAAATGATTGATAAAACTTTTGGAAAATGTACAGGTTAATTTAGACGCACTTGGATTAAGCATTTCAGCCATTTCAAAACAATGTGTTATTTTAAAAAGTATTCACGTGTCTTTTCTAACATACATGATTACTAAATCAAAAATATTGTTATTTATTATTTATGCTGATTGTGGCATGAAAACACAATTCAGAAAAGTAAAGTCACTTAAGACATATTAAATTTCCATATTTTTACCACTCATTTCAATTAAGAAGATAATCATAAATAAGCAGAAAATAAATCCCTTTATGTTATTAAATGTGTGATGTTTTCTAATATCCGAAGATGATATCCATATTTATTGAAATTCAGGTGTACTACGTATGTATTTTACTTACAAAGACATCTTTAACAACACTTTAAAATATTCATTTTACCTTGGCAAAAACAGCACCATATTAAAGTACTCATACAACTTTGGCAGTTAAAGCAGATTATGATTTCAAAATTATGAAATATATTATATATAGAAATTCCTGTATTTTTTTATATTTTCCTTTTCCTTTATGTGCCTCAGGAATAGACACAACATACATAATAGAATCTTCTACTAAAGTGTTTTTTTCCCTTCTCAATATCAGAAAATGTTAAATGATGAATGAAAACAGTGTTTCCACTCTTAAAAAATAACTTGTTTCCTCAGTCTTCTTAGACCACACATTCTTTATGAAACATATGGAACTAAGCTTCATTAGAACGTAAATGTTTGCTATCTTCAGTTATAAAATACTGAGCACTCAGTGTGCATGGTGCCTAAACCAGAGCTAATCAAAACGTTTCATAACAGCCCTTCAGACTTACAGCCTACTTTCAGAAAAATCATATACATTTTTTCCTTTAATCCTTGCTCGTTATAGGAGGGAGAGTTTCTGTTGTCAAAAACTAAAGTTCTCATTTCTCCTTTCAGTGCTTAGGTGGAAGGCACCCATCCATTATCACCCCTCCCACTCATATTGTCATTTTCCTTCACACCGTAATGTTGAAAAGCTCAGACTCAATCTACTCTGACGTTTTTACAGATCGCAATGAAACTGAAGTTCCAATAGAGTGTCTACATGGATTTAAAACACGGGAAGAAGGACTTAGATGGAATTACTGAGGACATTTAAGAATAACCACCCACCTTGTCACAATAGCTCAAGGACAAGGTAATGAGTGTATTTACCAAGTACACTACAAAGCATTTCGCTGATAGGCCCTTGGTCTTGATCAAACATTAGATTAAGAATGATGCCAGAAAAGATAATGCTTATATTGTCAAGTTGCAGTGTGTTTGTACTTGCACATTTACGAGGTAAGGTGACATATATGTTCCGTAAATGCTGTTTCCTTCAAGTCTTAGATCTCATAATTTCAATATTAATTCTATTAAGGCTAAATATATTATTTACATTCTATTTGTAGTTTACTTTTTTTGCAGGGGACATTCTGATAATTTCATGTTGTGAAGTTCAATGTCATTAAATATATCAATCTTCTCTTCTAAAACATGTTTTCCACGTATTGTTTAAGAAATGTTTTCTGACTTTATGAGGAGGGAGGTCAGATCCTGTGATTCCTTCTGGAGGTCTAAAGGTTTGCTTTTTGCCTTTTCACCTTCACCACCTTAAATTGAGCTTGTGTGCAATGTAATGACACACAACTCAACACTTTATTTAATATTATCACTTTCCCAATGTGTGATGGACCCTCCCTGCAAAAAAAGTGTCTGCAGGGATCTATCTGGTGCTCTGTTATTTTCCCCCTTGACTTGGCTGTCTGTCTTTAAACCCATAATTTGACCTCTTTATTAATACAACATTACACATGCATTGAAGAGCAAACCAATCTCCCTTATCACTACCCTGGACACTGTCTTTTTGTTCTTCCATGAAAAGTTTATATCAAATTTCACAAAAATTCAGTTAGGCTTAGATATTAACTGAAATAAGATAGTTGCATTAATTTAGGAAGAATTAGCACATACATTTCCTTTATTCTAAGTTTTTTTCATGTCTTTATAAAATTTTCACTTTTGTACACAAAACTGTCTACATAGACTAACATTTTCTTTTTTATCTTAGCATTAGTATTATTATAGGAAACTCTGTTTAAAACTTAAAAATTGCTGAGATACAGATATGTAGCATAATTGTAAAAAAATCTTAAACAAACATCTGGTTAAGGACTTGCTCTCTCTACTTTGAAAGGGTGGTTAAAGTTTAGTTTTTGGACTTTTCTGTGTAAGCATTCCATTGTCACAATTCTTAGGCATTTTGTTTACATGCTTTGTTGTTCTGATAAGCACAATGTTGAAAAGAAATAAAACAATTACATTGCTTTTAAGCTCAGACTTTACAATATTCTTGTTAAAGAGGTAATCTTTTGAGGTACATTCTATCAGGGAGAGAAATCTTCATGGCTAAACAGAATAAGACCTTCAAGAATGGCCTACATACAGAAAACAACAATAACTTGTGGTGAGGATGTGGGCAAAAGGTATTCAACCCATTTTTCTTGGGAATTTAAACTGGTACAAACACTATGGAAGTCAGTATGGAGATTCCTCAGACAACTGAAAATAGTTCTATTATATGACCTAGCCATCCCACTCCTGGGGATAGATCCAGAACAAATTAAACATACATGCAAGAGTGGTACCTGCAACCCTATGTTTATAGCAATGCAAGTCATAACAGCTAAGATATGGAAACAGCCCAGTTGGAAATCATTATGCTTAGCAAAATAAGCCAATCCAAAAAAGACAAATATATGAGACAAAGAATACACAGAAAACACACACACACACACACACACACACACACACACACAGTATAAACTCTGCAAGGGAAATCAGCATAGTAGAAAAGAATGAATGTATTCAGCAAGCAAATTCACTACTGAATAATAGGATTTTCATAATTATTTTTAATTATACTTGAATGTTACATTAGTTTTCTTCCCTTTGCTACATTTTTATGTCATGATACATATATATTAAAAACTGAATTCTATAATACTGAAATGAATGGCTATGCCACTATAACAACTTGGAGGCAAATAATAGGAGGGGATATATAGAGAGAAAGGGGGAAGAGAGAGGGGAAGGGATGACTCTCTATGCATGTAAATCTGCATCATGGAAAATAAATAAAACTTTAGATTAAAAAATAAGATATCTTTATTAAATGTGCTATCTGTATCTTCTTAGTTTAAATAGAGATTTTATATTTTAGCTTCCTCATTTAATAAATGTATAACTAGGAGACAAAGGTGTGGTATTGCACTGACCAGTTAACCCAGTAGCAGTCAGGGAGCCACAATCTGAACTCGACCAGAGGACAGAACTCCAACAGCACCAGGTGGGAAGTGGAGTTCACTAGGAGACCAGCAGGTGAACACTGGCAAAGAATTACCTATCCTGGTGAATTGTTTGATTCCACCAAGAGCAAAGACAAAGCAACAAACCCAAACAGGCTGTGCAGGAACAGGGTGAATTTCATAGCCCAGACCCCCACCAGAGCTGCATTGGATGCCATTTTATGTAGGGAGGCAAAGGCTACGGGACAGGACTATGCACGCACCAAGCTGAAGCAAACTCATTTCCAGCTCAGGGCATTGCACCAACGTGGCATCCTGCAGTTTCCACTCAAAAGTCAAAATAGATCCAGGTAGTACTGAGACCTACAGACCAGCAGATCCAGAACACCACCAGTGGCACATCAGTTCCATTTTGTACAGTGTGGCAAAGTCTGAGATTACAGACAACAATAAGCTGCACATGTGCTGAGCTGCAAGTGAACTCACTTCCAGCTCAGTGTATTGCACTGGTCCCATAGGGAAAATAATACCTATGGGCCAAAATAGGTCAGGGTGGCCCTCAGACCCAACAGGGCCAACATGCTCCAGGAAAATCAGCATCAACAACAGAGTTATTTTGGACACCTGGTGTCTCCCTAATCCTGGAAACTGCTCGAACCCAAAGTGGAAGAAAGTTTGTACAGACAACAGTGCAGCCACAGCAAGCGATCACATGTGGTGGCGAGTGGTGAGCCAGGAACTGGGGCTGTGGAGACCATGCTGGAAGTCTAGCAGAAGAACCCAGGACTGAAACTTGCTATAAGTCAAAAGAAAACTTCAAAATAATCCCTATTGGAATAAAAGTTTCTATCTTTTCAAGTTTTCAAATGTATGGGTATTTTATTTAAACTGAAAATACTAACATAATATTGGAGAAAAAATTTGTATTATACCAGTTCTTTGAAATTTGTTTTAAAATAAATTATGCAATTGTATTTACCCATGTAAACTTTTCATGAATGTAACTGTGAGTTTGTCAATTGAGTGGTTTTTTCCTTGACTGTGAAATTAAGTTTGTTAAACTTGTTTTATTTTATATCATGCCTACATTTTTATTAGTTTGACTTACTAATAATTGAGAATTACACTGGGATCTCCTTCAACAACAATAAATTTGTTACTTTTTTTCTATAGTGTTAGTCTTAAATATACTGAATTTATCTCATTTGAGATACACTAATTTAAAATTATTTCACTACATATTATGAGTTTACAAACTGATATGAACAAAACTGGTAAAGGATATCTACAAAATTGGAAAGCTAACATTACACTTAACTAGAAAATTATGAAATACGGTTTCTCCCTACGACAAAGAACAAATAACAGA